GGGTCGGGACAAGCCATCAATCTTTGCAAATGGTTCCCGATAGGAAAAAGTTTGAGAACCACTGGGCTAGAGGACTGTATATGCAGGGTAATGCTGCCATCCAGTGTTTAGCATTCATCAATACATCATTTAAACTTCATTTTTCATTTCATAATTTCAGTGATCAAAACATTGTTGATGGAGTTGTTCGATAACATTTTGATAACATCAGAAATGACTCACCACAGGCCAAAACACAATATACACATAAATATAAGGTTTAAAAGCAATCTACATAATTTTCTTCACTTCCCCACATATGCATTTTCAGGTTTTGTGATCACAATGTAAAAACTAAATGTGTATTATTCCCATATTTTGCTCCTTGTTCAAATTATGAAATAAGTTCAGTCACATGAGACTATATGTGAAAGATGGATATGTTTCAAGCTGTGATTTTTTTCAGACCAAATTTTCTATTGTAGGATCAGAAGAAGTTATGGATATAACACAGATGCTTCTAAAAATAAAACCAAGCATCTCTAATGTATATGCACTTATCTATAGTTCTCTGTATTTTTTATCCAACCCTTTTTTTTTAATGTAGCCATCAGCTTAATTTCAGGATACTATTTGGAAAGTGGTAGACTCTGGAAGACCTGTGACACTAAGAACATTTACAGAACATATTTCTTTTAAACGGAGGTGTGATAGTGATGGATACAATACAATGTAATATAATGTAATATTATTTTTCTGATGTTTTTGTAACCTGGGATTTAGAATAATAGAAAAGTAGAACTGGAAGTGGTGGTCAGACATCTAGTCCATTCATCATCTTAGGCCATTCATTCTTTCTCCCTGATAAAACAATACAATGAACTGAAGATTCATTCTTTACCTTTAACTGACTTTGTGGAGATGAAGGATTTATTTTTTACTCTAAATTTAGTTCCTCTGGAAATGTGGTTCTGGGAAAATGAGAAAATATTTGATGAACAAAAGAGGAGAGGAAAGAAAAGTGCTTTTGCAATTTAGTCCAGGATACATATAGATTGCACTGAAGTCCTTCTTCCTGTAGTGCAGTTTCTCAACCTTGTTAGACTCAAAGTACCCTTTGGAAAATGCCAGCTCTCTGCTTTCACTAATTTTTGTCTATGGAAAAATAATAGAGCAAGTCTTCTGTTGCAAAGAACTCAGAAAGACCACTATTCAACACTATGAATTTCTATTTGAAATCTCTGGATTTATTTTGTGAATCATGCAGGTGTTTGCACAACTAACAGCAGCTCCCTGTGGTACCTTTAAAAAGATTTAAGGGCACCTCAGGTTGCCATTTCACTCTTGCTGATAATCACTGCTCTAGTGGCTTGCTTTCAGAAGAATATCCAATAATAAGAGAAGTTCACAGAAATATAAATCTTTCTTCTGATGTTG